GTACTGGAAAAGTAACCGCAAACTTTGTAGAATCGCATTTTGGGGGTATAGAGAGGGGGGGGGGGGGGGGGGGCTAGGGAAGATTCAACATCAGCGTAAATCGCAAAGCTGCGTCTTGTTTGTGTTTGTAGTTCATAAACTTAAAGGTCAATTGTCTTTGTCAGGAAGTACCAGTTTCAAAGGAACGCTGTCTATACCTTGACAATGCTTGTGTGCGTCCAACCTTTTTTGTTTCGAAAAGGAGAAAGACAACGATATGAATCTTTTTATCGCGGTGACTATTGACGGTATATAAAAGTCGAGAAAAATCTTCGATCCAACAACAGTGAGTGGTTTTTTCGCTGCTAAAAAAAGTAAATTTTATGGCTTCTACCGCTAAAAAGTTTTCAGACGTCTTTTTAGACAAGTAAATAGGGAAAACACGTTACCCAAACACGTTAATAGCCAAATTATTCTGGGTTGCCATACGAGGTACAATTTAACTCGTCGTTTGTGTTGTTAGTAAGCCTACACCTTCTTTCTTCTCGAAGTTTGTAGTTGGGGTTAGCTTTAGCTCCCCCACGTTTTTGTGGTAGGCAAAGGTTAAAGCTTATTCTGAAGAATATTTTGGACTTTCGAACGACTAAAATGTGTTCAATATCACTCATAAGGGAAACCAATTAAAAATACATAAGCATGCCGTTCTGATGTAAGATTCTGCATGAATGTGATACATGTTACAGACGTTTATCTGCATCACCCCCCTATATAGTGTCCTACGAGTCAGCGCCCCCCTTTCAAACTTCCAGGCCGGGCAAGTCGCCTCTTTCTCCACAAAATGCCAATCCACCCAATTTTTGGCACCATGCAATCCCTCTACTATATCCTTTGATTTGATTGATTTGGGGTTGAAGGGTCCCAGATGAAAGATGTCCTTTCCCGCCAAATTCATTTGAAAGACATAAAATCTCGTTCCTGAACATTACCTCGACAAAAGTCGGCATAATTATGAAAGAGGAGCTAGGACTAATATCCGACTTTCTCCGTGCTACACTTTTGAATAGACAGATCCCATCGAACCAAGAAACACGTGATTACAAGTGGAAAGAAAATTACACAAACAAATCTACAAAGAAGGGAAAGAACAACTGCTTCCTATCAAGGGCGAATCCAAAATCCAATTTTCGGGTGGCAAACTTGTTTGGGGTCCACAAAATTTGGATTTTTTCCCTCTAACTTTTAATGGCCTTTCTGAAGGGTAAGGCTACATATTTTTCGGGCTTTTTACACGCTTTTCAAAGGAAGGGAGATTGAAAAGTCCAAAAGAATTCGCTTTCATTAAATTTCAAATACGACCAGGGCGGGGGGGGCAGTCTGGGGAATACTTCCAGCTGACCCCGCCCTAGATCCGCCCGTATTGGTAAACTAACATGGATTCTATAAGTTGTATTCCAGTAAGCTAGTATAAAAAGAACTAATAAATTTACCTTAAAAATGGATTATTTGAATCAATACGCTTATTTAGATGAGTGATATTACAGTCTTTCTCGCAAAATTGTGGAGAACACAAAGTACATTTTACCATATACTGGTAAATAAATTTTGACATATTTATGCTAAAATAATGGAAAGCTTCATAAGCAATCAGTACTGTGCATTAATTTTTGTGTTCAAGCAGCAGGACCACGATCTTATGAAGCCAGCTGAGCTTTTACAATTAAGCGGATTTACAGCTTTCATTAATCCACTGACCACGTGCCAATTAATATTCATTGCTGGTAAACGTGTTTTAATGGCATGCATTGTGAATTACGTGTAGCGAACAGCTGCATTAATTTTGTGAATTTCATCGGTGTAATGTTTAAAAGATGCGATTTCCACCTTGTCGCCTTTTTATGTATACCATACTGTCTAATTTTAGGTTGTGCTTTAATTGGAAGACGTGTCCATTATAAAAGACCCTTTTTGCAGCTTTGCTAAATAAACCAAAACGTGCATCTACCGAAGTCCTCTAAGTTTGTGTAGTGCATGTTTTTGGCGTCGAGGATTTCTGTTTAAAGGACACGACGACGAAGCGCCTCCTCTGTCTCAAAAGCACTGTGTTCCATCCACCTGATGTTAACCTGGGTAGTGGTTATGGCTGACTCGTATGTGTACTTCAGAGCACCCAGATTACGACCCTTACTGAATTCCAGCAGCTGGAGAATGAAAATAAATCGTTTGATAGAAAACCAACTCGCAGAGTAAGCTAGTATCAAAATGCTTCACTGTCGTCACATTTTTCTATTTTAAATGATCACAAATCTTTTTCATTACCTCTTCAAGCTGTTCTTCTGTGTTGAAAAATGATGTTATCTCTTCAAAGATGTCACACAATGATTGACGCTTTCGTTTGAACCTAATGTTGACAAAAATTTTAACTTCACTTCAGAATGATTCATTCACCTAAACATATGTGACATACCGAAATCTATCAACATTACATGAAAATATTCAATTGCCTGAAAACATCCCCAGTTCATTAATAACTTCAATGGTTACAGTTTAAAATAGAATAGGAATATTGGTGAGTGCTACATTCAGATAAGAACGCTGGGTAAGGTAATCACTGGATAAACAATGTGACGTGTAACACCCTGGTTCCTTGGAATTATGTACACATCTAGACTGCAATTCTCTAAACACATAGAATGTGGAATTAGACTTGAGTTGCTTACATCTTACTGACTGTTCCCCAGTTGTTGCGAAGAAAGTCCCATGCTACCTCATATCCATCTGGATTCTCAGCCACGCCCATCAAGATAATCTCAACATCCCTCCGACTAAATGTGTTTGAATCCATCATCGACTGTAGATAACTGTTCATTGGATAATTCCATTTTTGTTGCCGTGAATAAAAGTAGAACTTTGTAAATGAATCAAGATTTTTCAGTTGAATGTAGAATGTAACAACACGGACGGAGATCCCAGGGGATGGGGGAATAACCCCGCTACCTTTTTGACCCCTCGGGGATTACCAACATAACTATCCCCTTCTCTTTTCAAGTCGCTGACTATGCACACCTTTGGCCTGGCCCGACTACGCGATTACCGGCGTCATCTTCCCTTGGATTGAAGCTGTGCTGAGCTTTCAGAATCACCCCCCATGCATATGCGACAAGAAATCTCTGCCCATGCTTACCAAAGAACGGAAAATATGGCGTTGAATTTGTAACGATGGGTTTATATGTGAGAAAATTCAATGGTATAAATTTTACTTAAAAGCAACAATTCAGATCTAATCTAGATCTAAGAAGCACCCCGTATGCAAAGATGGTTATGTACAAAGAATAAAACATCTTCCATTGGCATTTTACTGTCCAACTTAAAGGAAGATTGTCTTTATCGGGCCCAAATTGCCACATATACTGAGATCGTCGCAACAGGATTAGTTAAGCATGAATAAAAACCCAAAAGGAAAATATGGAGCACAGTATTTTTTCCAGATAGTTTTTATGAGGCGAAACTGACTTTGTGGACGCGGCCATTAACGAGTGGTCACGTGATCAGAGTCTCGATGACAATGTCACATGTGCTCGAAGGGGGCGCTCGCACCGCGCCAGCTGACAGATTCTGCAACGATTATCCACAATTTCTCGGACAAACAATTGTGCACATTGGCATGCATTGCCAGGAAAAAAACCGCATTGACAGCGGCAATGGTTAACAAAGTGTTGCCGTCCTCCGGGAAAAGACCGTCTCTCGAGGGTGCGCAGGGCACGTACATCTTACTCGTGATGACTACGAGTATACCAGCAATACGAAATGGGGCTTGCAAAACGGTAAAGGTTGAAGCCCAATGCGGTGCTGAGTGCGTTCCGGAACGATGAAGATTCCCCTCTCCACACTTGCGGGTCTGATTCTGCACTTGCTAATACCCAGTCTTTGCGCCGGCCCAGAAGCACTTGTGACGTCACCATTTTGATCACGTGACCACTCGTTAATGGCCACGTCCACAAAATTAGTTCAGCCTCAAAAAACTGTCTAGGAAAAATACTATCCTTGTAGCCACGAGGCTAAGTAGGCCTACATTTTGCAATTTGGGCTCGATGAAGACGCTTCCAACTGTCTTCTAAGATTGTTCGTTGTTGACAGTGTGGTAACGTGTACAGCAGAAGCGGGTAACTTGGTTGCAACTATCTTCCCCACCCCCACTTAATTTAAGTAAAATTAGTCTAAAAGATCCTAAATGTATATTCTCAAATTGCCTCATGCAGTAACAGCGTCAAAGATTTCAAAACCTTTATGGGGCCCCTATCCCCTACAGGTTCGTCTTCGGTAATTTCTTCACAAGTACACGGTTACCTTTGAAGGAGTGAAGTATCGGCAGAGCAAGTGAGGGCGCGAACCCATCTTGTTCTTTCCCGTCGATCATCAGTCGTCCGCAGCATGTCATAAGCAAAGTTCCACTCCAGCTTTTTTCCGAAACGGATTCCATTGCAGTACACGCATGTTCTGAGATTTTCTGGAATTCTTGCGATGATACGTAAAGAGAAAAGCCGTGGTATTTTTACTGACGTCGGTTTCTATGAAACTCAGCTTTTTGCACAGAACCTGTTATTTTCGTAATATGAATACAACTTACGCATTATTTATCGGGTTACTCATATATTCCTTGAACATGCTGGTTGCTTTGGTTACACAGTGTTGATTGCCATAGCGGCATGCTGTCGATGTTACGTCAAATCGGTCACTTTTTTCATGTCGAATACTGATAAATTAAAAGAATCAAAAGAAAGCATAAAACATATTACTGTTAGCAATATTTCAATCAAAAGAATCCACTGATTTTGAGGGGTAGACTTGCTGGCGACTTAAATCGTTGTACCGTTGTTTGACTGTAGTTATTGGGTTATTCCCAAAGCGATTAACCGATCCCAAAAATGTCTTTTGCCCTACTTAATAAGTATTTTGTTCATTGGTTCAAAACATCTCTGTTTCTTGTCAGATGCACCAAATACAACAACCGCTCTTTGTGACAAACAAGTAAAACTTACCCTGCAGGCAAGAAATCTAGCACGAAATTCTCATCCCATCCCGATTCAACATACATCGGTTCTATCAGTTGTAGCATGTAAGTCTGAGAAAACCACAGAACGTAGAAAACTATTTGTCATTTTAGGAGGGTATTCGTTGGAACTGAATATAGTAGTTGATATCAGTTATAAACATCCCGAACAGCTTTCGTCGGTTTTTGTGGAACGCGTCAACATGCTTGAATTACAGCATTTTTGAAGTCCATTTAAGTAACTGATATAATTAGTTAATTTCTCTTCTTACTCGAAAGCAATAATCTAGTTTCTGTTATTGAGAAATAGTGAGTGAGAAATAAGAACAGTCTACCTGCGCTAGAGGGGCAGATCGCTTTTTGATGGCACCCCTGGTGTCCAGCATCTTGACAAAGTAGGAAGACGTCGAGACTGCAGCCCTCCGAGCTCTACGGGAGTTGTTAGTGAAGCTGCTTAAGAAGCTGTTGTAGTATGAAATTGGTACAACTTCGACCAGGGCCAAGATGAATGAATCGTAGATCAATCCCACTTTGTTTTCCTCACTGAAGACCTGGTCACATCAAGATCGTAATGCCAACAGTATTACTTGCTTGACACACGTCACTACCTGTCTTACAGCTGGCATCTTCAAGAGGGATTTCATGGCATTCGATTTGTTACTTACACACTTTCAAATTTATATAAAAAATAATTTTACCTATGCTCATTCACCTAAAACTTACTAAACATACAGTACTATCAATTATAAAAGTGCAAATATCTGTACAAAATTTATGACACCCAGAATTTGTCTTGTGGGGGATTGGGACTGGGCTTTACCCCCATATAACTTACTTTGCTCACCCACCACCCGCGATTGCGGCACAGGGGACAGGGCCAGGGACTACAGCTTTGTCAGAGCTGTAGTAGTTTCAAGTGTGGGTGTATTATTGCGTCTTCTTTTCAGAAAATGTGTAAAAAAATGACACACGCGGCCCCCCTTGGGTAGGCAAAATCAGACCTTAGAGGGATGGAAACAGGTCGCCATAGTATGGAATTCCGTACTATAGTACGGGCGCAATAGTGACATATGGTCATCGGCCTGAAAACTGATATTCTATAGCAGTCGACGCATATCGGTCGTGACCCATGTGAGGGATTTGTCCTACCATTTCCCTTGAAGACCTCTTGTGTGAATACATTGCCCATAATCTATCAAATGGTGATATTATCCGGAAATTAATCAAAGAAGTTGAGAATGTCAATTTTACGACAAAGGATAATTATGAAACAATTATCGGTCTTTAACCTAACATTGTGTCTAATTTTTGCAATTTTTCGGACTAGTAACTCTTATGATCTAAAAGGTTTATTACTGTTAGGCAGAAAATCTTTTTTGAACTTCACTTCATTTTTCACTGGGACCCAATTTCGTCATTTTCCCAGTTTTTCACCTCACTTAGTGCCCAATTTTCACACTTTTGCCGAATTCCCCTCAGATCATCAGTGACACTGTTTGCCTCTGGAAGACTGATGAATCGTTTATATCCATCAGTTCATGTCTTCAAGATGGAGAGCCATTTGTCTTAAATGTGGTTCGTTTTTCATGCGGATTCAAATTTCCGCACTGAGTCCGACAGCGGTCAAAAAATGAGATGTCCGGATTTAGGGCACGGCATACACGCACACACACCTGGATACAAGTGCGTTTCGGTACGAGTTGACTTTTACTGCATTGCACTAATACGTACAGTAAAACGACGTCAACTTGCCCGACTGAAAGGCGCAAACAAAAACTTTCTGTTATCATTCATACGGTTTCTTTCTTGCATGATATCTTCTCATTAGAGCGTTCATGATATTCCTCACTATTCACAAGTACAGAAATGTACCCGACAAACTGAAAAAGTCCCCTCTAAAATGTTAGCTTCACTTCCAACTTCTGACTCTGTTACTTTAGAGGTAAGTACGAAAGACGGGCAAAAAATTGGCAAAAAAAGGATTTTTTTTGCGTGTGCAAGTTAGCAAAAGGGACTTTGAGTGTTTAAATACTAATTGGTAAGAAAAGGTTAGCTTGATGTTGATCGATTACTTTTGGGGTCCACCTGTCTGAGTCAATAGTCAATTTTACTGGCTGTAGTGGGATTCAGTACGCATTGGGACATGAATACACGTGGCGCACGTTTACAACGATGCCATTTTTCTTCTCAGTAACACAGGCAATAATGCTGATAAAGAACCGCATGCTAGTATTAGCCACCCGAAAGTGTCACAACATGTTATTGCTTGAAGATAACTACCCGTGTCGTGATTTCTGCTGTTCGGACCAAGTGGAGATCACTTACATTTGGGTCCATTTCGGCCTGATCCATTAGTCTTTGCCAGTTGTCATCATCATAGTTGACGCGATAGAAACCAGTCATCATAGCATTAGCCAGGTACCAATCATCTGATTTGGCATCATCTGGCAGGTCAAAGTATGCTGAAATGAAATTGACGAATCAGTTAAAGTCCCCAAAACTCTATTGGCAGCTCTTTTCTCACTAGAACATTGATTAGCGACAGTTCTGTTACGACTGGTCCTGTTAGAAACAGCATCTATAGCAGAACTAGTTGTAGAAACGGTATCTACATCAGCAGTAACTACATCAGCAGCATAAGTAATAGCAAAAGCATGCAATAGCAACAGTGATGGTAGTGATAAGCTTACTATAATCGTCCGATGGTTCCATCCACACTTGCTGAGGTTTCTCGTATTGGTCCGCAGGCCCCGACTTATAAACACAGGTGAGAGGAACGTACCACTTATACCTAAAAACAACAAATTGAGGACCTTGACGAACTCGATGATGAGGTGAATTCATGTTTTACTTTTGTGAAATTGATTAATTCATTGGTGTTTCAGCAAAGAATATAATACAAATCTTTTATCTTTTTGGAATGTGAATCGGCCGATCTTTTCCAGGTAAAGTGTATTTTGAATTTAAATTTAAATTTAAAAACAGTTTACCCGAGGTCTCCAAATCCATCATCTTCGATAGTTCTGTTAAATTGCAGGAATACTTTCTGCGTTGCCACCATGCTATTCCCTGTTCTGGTCAGAGTTATTAAGGGATAACCTCGTTGAAGAGTCCAAGTATCCATAATCTTCTTCACGTCGTGTTTGCCGACTTCTTTGTCAGCCTGGATACAAATGGGAAACAGGATATCGTTGGTGACCTCTGAGTTACACTCTAAATCCAACCATCCTTTTCTTGGGATCAAATTCACAACGTGTAGTTAAATGAAGTGTGTTTAAGCTGCCGAATGGAAAACGCTTGAAGGATAGCTTGAGATTTGTTTTTTTTCCCCTGCAGGAGTTCTGCATATACAAATTGTTAGTCATATATTACTTATTAGGCGCAATGAATTTTCAATATTATTCTGGGACGATCTGGGTTTTTCCAAGACCAATTTCTTGGTTTGCTGAACTCTTTATGTTGTGGATTCTTTGTATGTGTTTCGTCTATACGCCCGAAAAAGTGACTTACTTTGGCAGTGTGTTAATACCTCACAAAAAAGGAACGCAGGAAATATTACAGTCGCCCTCAAAAACCGGGATACTTACGTAAGTGAGTTCGTGCCAAAGTTGTTCCGCGTTGACATTTTTATAAGCACGTTCCTTCAGGTAGTTTTTTACGCCCTGGTTGAAAACCTCGATTGTCAGGAAGTGCTCCATCATCCACAGAATTGATCCACCCTTGTAAAGGAATCATTTAATGTACTCTTTTTGGGGTTATAAATATTGTTGTTGGATGTCCAAATATTGAATTTTGTTACATACGTATTGGAAGTTCATATACATTGTAATGAACTAAGTAAATGGATCCCATGTATCATTGATCTAATGGTCGCTTAGTATTTTTTTTTCAGAAGATGCAACGCGGGTTTTCTAATCAGCCGTTAGTGATATTGACCCTATTGAAACAATGAAAGTACTTATTCACTGGGAAGAAATTGATATTTCAATTAAAAGAGTAATGTGGTCTGCTTTCATTTTCGATAAAAGCAAACAGCATATCTTACCTTCTGGTACGTAATACTGTTGAACTGATAGTCAATGTCCTCATCATCAGCGTAGACTGGCGCTCTCAAAGCGGGAAAGGTACCAAAACTGTCATAATGTAAAGCTACGTTGCTATTGTCGAGGTAGAAGGTTTGAAACTTAGAGAAAGAAAAGATAATATAATACTTTGATAAACTAAAATATTCCAACATGATAACACTCATAGAAACCTCAAGGAGCACATCCACAGGATGGCGTGCAAAGTTAACATCTAATCCGGAAATAAAGATATCTCTAGCAGAAATATTTCTTTTCCTAGACGTGCCAAGTTAACATTTATTCACGGAATAGATATATCTCTATTCCTAATAGAAATATTTCAGTTCCTAAAAGAGATATCTCTATTAAAAATATACATATCTGTATACGTGGATTAAATGTTAAATTTGCAGGCCATTCCAGAGCAATGATAATCAGCAGGAATTAAATTAAAATTTGTCTGCTTTCCTTCTTACCATAGGTGGTACATTTTCCATCGTGATCGTTCGTCCGATAAGTGCGTTAAGCAGCAAGGAAAATTCGAATTAATTGCAGTGCATGCTTGTATTGTAACATCATTACACCAGTACATCATTAAAGTTTAACTACAATCAGTTTTTCTTAGACCTAATTTTTCTTAAACTTTGTATTCGTCTCCATTGCATAAATCTCTTTAACATGCATAGGTTAAGTGCATTGACAAGTGCAGTTTTTAAAACAATTAAAATTACCATGCTTTCCTGACAACTGATTGCGCTATTGCTGTGAAGGCATCTAAGGAAGATATAGTTCATTGCAAAGGCTTTTCTTTTAAAATTGTGAACCTGGAATTTACTTACTTAAAACATTTCTGAGAAGGAATTGATGTTTGATTATTGCTATGCACATCAACAATGAATCAGCAAAGAAGAGAAAACTGGATCCAGCAAAATCTATAAAAATGCAGTGCTGTTTTGTGCACAAACCAATGTAATATTGAGGCTTCTCCCTGGGATGACATCACACTTTTTCTCATGAATATGGCACTAGTCATTACTATAACACCAAAAACGCAGTAACATACCTTCGATAAAGTGAAACAAAAGTTGAAAATAAGGTTTACCGAGACATAAAGGTGCATTTTGAAGGTGTTTATTGAAACAAATTGATTGCAGGAACCCTTTGAGGTATTGACAATCGGTTCAATCATGGAGGAAGGAATGTTACAAATGTGGAGATGTGTTTTAGATTAAAATGTTTTTTCCACTTTTTACAGATTCAAATGAGTCAAGAAAAGCAATCAAACCCCCAATAGTTTATGCACTGTGCGTTATGCTTTCGAAAGGTACAACTTGGCACCCTGATGCAGGTGCAAGAAATGCAAATATACATGTACAGCATTCCAGAGTAAATTGCCCGTAATCGATGAAGCCACTGAGCTGCTTAAAGAGAACACCTGTTGATATAGCCTAATCCATGGGCTTTATGAGATTTTTTCAGGGAGAGAGTTAAAGGCTTACTGATTGTTTTTTTTCTAGATGTAGATTATTTTCTAGATTTGTTTTTAAAACAAAATGCCGTAAGGGCTTCGTGGTAAGCGTTCTTGTACATTTCACCATCGCTACTTTCGTTCACGCCCCCTTTTGTAAAAACTGGGATCACGCCCCCTTCTTTAGGAAAATCTTGGATCAGCACCTGAAAGTCTTCCATATAGGCTTTAATGTTATTTTTTAGTGTTTGGATTTAGTATTTGTTTAAACATGATGAAATCATTTAAAAAGACTGGATGCACAAGGCACTATATAGAGGCATTTATGGAAGTAAAGGGGTTAGTGCCATTGGCGAATATGAGAATCATTTGAAAGCGCCTTTAAGAGAAGGTAATCCTGGCCAGAAATCACAAAAACGTCAAGGAGTAAACAGGAATAACGCAAGCCACATATCAATCACCATTTAGGATTTAAACGGGGTCAAAGTTTGATTGTCCTGACCTTTCGGGGGGGAGGGCCAAAGAACAACATAATTCACAGCACACAGCAGGTGAGAAATACATGTACGTGTTCATGCCTTGCTGCTGTAATGGAACGATCATTATTTTGAGACGCTTGCTTTTGTTTTGAAGAATGAAATTTTTGTGGAAATAAGCCATAATGTTTTGAATCCCCGACGATAATTTAGAATGTAACACGAGCCATTTTAAAGCGTTGATGATAGTTAAAAACATTAAGAACAGAGTTGGCCAAATATCATGCGAGATGACTTTATTATATTTATTCTTTGCCTAGAGTAGGTTTTGTACTTGGTTATAACATGTACATGTTGCAAATATATATTTGCGTCGGAAGAATACTATCAATTTTTTTGCCGGCGAGCAACTCTCTACTCTGTATTTTCCATGTATCGGGTCAGACAGTTCGTACAGGAAATGTATTCGGAAATGAGTGAGTGAGTTTTCTTTTTTCTTTTCCCAAAATTTAAATATTCAGAATGCTGTTTTTGTTTGGGTAAAATTTTCCTTTACTTATACCTTTTTAAATTCAGGGTGTACATAGTTGACTCCAATGTGTTCCATGTAAGTAGCGAAGCCTTCGTTAAGCCAAAGGTCATCCCACCACTCCAGGGTCACCAAGTTTCCGAACCACTGAGAAAAGCAGGATGGCGCATTATTAAAAGAATAGCGTCAATACAGGAGGCTGTTGTTTGTTAGAAGTAAGGTTTCCCAACAATACCTAAGATTAAGTTCGTTTCAGTACAAATAGGTCAAGATCAAACCAAGTATTTGGTGATAATAGGTTGACCTTTCAAAGTGATCTCAGGCTTCAAGTTATATGAATTAAACTTACGCAAATATATGATGTTTGTCTTTAGGCGTCAGTTTATCACTTGAACTTTAATATGATAACAACAATGACAACTCAATGATTACCTGTACCGTGCAGCCCGTGGTACACCAGAATCAACTTAACCCATTAACCTTTCTGATTATTTTAAGCTATACATAATTACCATATGAGCCAGTTCGTGAGTAATGATCTCAGAATAGAACATGTTGTTTCCGAAATCCTCCATTCCGTACAGAAGGTATATGTCTTGATAGGTGATAAGGCCCCAATTTTCCATTGCACCTGCACCAAATTCTTGAATTGCTATGTGATCTAGAAAATTGAAAATAAAATTAATCACAAAGTTAACCCCATTTCTGAATGCAGATTACCTGAGTGATATGTATAATTTCCTAGTTACTAAATAATGGGGGACTTTTAACAATTTTACTAACAATTTTAAGGGTAGGACTTACTGTACCTTGTTTCGCCAGTGGGTATTCGTTATCGAGATAATCGTCGAAAAATGTTTGGACCTTATCCGAGACGTTGAGAGCGTAGGGAGCAAGGTGAATAAGATCCGACTGACACCATATGCGAATCTGCAGAGGGAAATCAGGGAAATGGGTCGACAGTCAATAAAGTCATTTGCCGAAAATATGGCCTTAAAATTATACTGCTTTATAGACAGGGTGTGAAGATCCGAAAACGAAATGGACACAATTAGCCGCATACTTGCAAACTAAATTGTACTTTTATATTCCTGAATCTGATGAAATGAAGTGGCATTCCCCATGACAACTTGTGCATGCAGGTTTGGCCAAATTATTGCCCGACAAAGTTTAAGGAAATTCGCGAGAAAAGGTTCCTTACCAAACACCCATTGGCGTTTGTCACATTGATGGAAGAGAAATCATGCACTATAAAAGCCAGAAGGTAGGTCGGCATGGAGGGAACTCGTTTAAAATACGTCCTGGACCAATGTCCGTCCAGTCGGAGTTTTCTCGTAGCAATGCCGTTCGCGAGCGCCTGCATATCGTGACGGTGCTCTAGCTGAACGTCGTAAGACGCTTTGAAGGAGGGCTCATCGAAACATGGCAGTACGCGTCGTGCAAACGGGCCTTCCATCTGAGTAGTCGCGATGTATCTAGATCAAAAGGTTCCGTGATTGAATATTCGTCAGTTACTAACTTAGGCCTATGTCAGGCGAGAGATGCCTGACCTTTTCATGTGGTAGACATGCTCAGAAATTGCTTGGCCAAGTGGCCAGTCTGTCACCAGAATGGTTGATTGTAGACAATGGTAGCATCGATTGGTATGCTAGTTTTATAGTCAGTTCAACTTGTTTTGTCTCTTTGAGTCAGTGTTTGATCAATATATTACACAGAAAATGGAGGATATTTTAAAGGTCGAAGGGTTCAGATCCTACTTCAGCCAATTTTTTTTTGGATCAGCCAAAATTATATTAATGATTTTCACGTTTTAGGACTACTCAAAATTTCAGAATATTTGTAGATTAGGATTTCCTCAAAATGTGGTTGAGGAGGTGGGTCAAGGAAAAAAACAAAGATAATTGAAGTGATAGAGGAACGAAGTCGATATATTTAGATTGAAATAAACTTTTGATCGATGGGGGTAGGTGGAACCAATTCACTTCAACACCGATTTTAAAATTTTCTTGACTGAGGCCATACCTTGTATTATTGAATTCATCCAAGTACTTGCTAGGGTAGAACCCTGCCTCGTCGTCACCGAGGATTCCAGAATACTGCATGTAGATGTCATATTCCTGATGAGGCATCAGCATTTTTTTCAACTTGAGAATCATGAATGCATACTCGTCCACCATCTTATAGCTCTCGAAGAGATCCATCTTGTCTAAGGTGCTGACACTAACGACGGTAGGAATACCATGGACTGTGATATTCTTAGAGTGTAGGGTAATCTCATTCGTTGGCTCGATGCATTCGACTTTAATCCGAACCCATCCATCGAAGGTGAACCTCTCACCCAGCTTGGAGTCGACCACATCATCGTCATAGAGGAAGGGGCGCAGGTTAACTTCGTAGCGTCGCGGCAGGACCGTCTTCGGCAGCCGGCCCCGCATGAGATCAGAAGGGGGTATGGTCGTTGGTTTTGCAGGTGGCTCGGTAACCACCTGCTTAGTGCTCATCATGATGGGGGCATCGGTGGGGACTATCATGTTTTCAGTCGTCGAAGGTAACTGGACAATAGGTTCCTTGGTTGCTCTGTCGTTATTTAGTGAACGTGGGATGTAGTATGTCATAAGGGCAGTTGCAGCGATCATCACACCCACAGTAATGATAGAGAACACGAGCACGGCTGGACTGCAGTAGACTCCATTCCCCTTACGCCCAGGATTGTCTTCCATACTGAACTCGCTCCGTCCCATCTCGAATTCAAGATGTGTGTTACCACTATGTAGGAGGGAAAAGGTGGTGAGGATAGGCAAAACGAAATTTCGGAATGGCCTTGTTAGACTTTCGTATTGTAGTCTCTCACTTCTTAGCCATTGTACTCAATCTAGGTTCGGCTTATTTATTTGTTTTTATTCAATGCCTGGCGCACTTTCCCGCTGACCTCTTGCTTGAACAGTTGTAAGTTCGTAAGTGGGTTTGGATTTAATGCTCAAAACCACGTCAGGGTAAGCCAAATTCTCTAGTTCTCTCGGGTCCTGAATTGTGTTTATTTACGTCGAACGCTGCAGGTTGTTTTCATTGGTGGTGATTGGGGTAAAACCAGATTCTATCAAAAGTTCAGTTCCTATAAATGCAGGCAAAAAATAGGTGGCTCCGTCTCTTGTTGATCACAGCACGTGTTGAGAATGGCTCTGAGTAAACGGAGCAGCTTTAAAATTTGCATAAAGAGGCGTTCCAAAAATAAACCCATGGCATACAGAATCAAACAAGAGCCGGGCTTGTTTTTTGTTTCGGACCTTCTCACAGCCAGTTGGGCCTCAGAGCGTGGCTTACCCGTGTCCATTTTTTTAAAACTTGGTAAGTATTTTAAGTATAAACGTGAGGTTTCGACTCAACCCGACGTGGTTTGGTGTTACTGTCATTTGAAGTTCACGACCACATGCGTGTTTACCTTCGTGAATTAAATAAATCAGTGGAAAAGTACACATTTTTGGTAGACCTGCCCACCGGACGCTGCGCGAGAAGGTTTTGTCTATCCATAGATGGACACACTAGTTTGAACTGTACAGGCTGTAACATCTGGCCAATTAGTTTGCTCTTTGAAGCCATTTCTGAGGAAACCTTAGCTTGTTGTCACATATTTACAATTGCCAAAGAAATTTTAAGGAAAGTATAAAAATGAGAGAAGTTTTTGTGCACAAATCAATACAACGTTTGGGTGCAGTGCCTAAGATGGCATTACAGTTTTGCTCATAAATATAAAAAAAAGTTTCAAAAACAGATTAAAATAGCCAAAGAAAACTTGAAAACCAGGTCAATTGAAGTACGAAGGTGCAGTTTTAAAGGTTGTAGTAAAATAAATTCATGTTCCCTTTAAACGGTTGATTTGTTTAGTAAAACTGTCGTCGACTTCGGGAAACTCAGGGCCCAGTAGGTCTGTCCGGTCCCATGATCATTGCGGTACTTTTTCGGTATAAATTCCTCAGAATTTAATAGCTGGGACCCCTCAGTGCTCAAACTAAAGTGCTTCATGCAGCTAGTCCGATTACTACATAAGTCTGACATTATTTCCAGTTTGACATTTTACGGCAATAAGCAAGCGGCTCTCCTGCAGTCATGTTGGTGGGGTTAAGCCTTTCTGGGGTCTTGTCACTCCATGGAAAAAGATTCAAATTATTTTGATATGACACATAAACATTTGGCGTCAAGAAATCACTTCTTCCACGAAATGAACCACTCTCTCGGCACAAAGTACGGATAGCCCCACAAATTAGCATTACGATTACAGTTCCACACGCAATTTTCTTCGCCGTTCATGCCTAATGGCATTCCCAAATGCTGTCAAACATGTTAACACGCGGTTTTGATCTTGCTAAATTAACATTTGTGTCTTACTGTTTTTTTTTGTGGGGCCATCCACTCCCGACAAACTTATTCTTTCTGGAAACACTTTCCACACGTCATATTACTGTTCTGTAATTGTGATGATGGTGGTGATAAGGGTGTTGATGGTGGTGGTAAGGGTGGTGATGGTGGTGAGGATGATGGCAGCGGTAAGATGAATATGATAGATTTTGTTAAACCTATTTATGTACAGCTAGTGTGACTACAGGCGTGGGGCAAGTACTGGCAACTTTGAATCCGAGAAATCAGTGACTAGACCGGGGACGGGTTCCTTCGCCATTGTATAGGAGTGTCAGAACTTTAAAAACGGGGCTACGGCCTTTTTGGGAAGAGTGGTTTTGACAATTCGATTACGGATGAAAACGACTGTGTTCAATCGCTTTTAAGCCCCCCCCCGGCCACATTGGACTCAAAACCTGGATACGCCACTGGTAGTTCGTCGCAGATATTTGGATATGATGATTACTTTCCCTGAGTTTCCTCCTTCGATTCTATAGACCTCCTTTGTGTACCCAAGGGCGTCAATCCGTTTTTACAGCGATCTTAGACAATTTCTGGCTACTTCAGCCATTTTTTAAAGCAAATCCTTTTGCAGGGTATACATTTTCCTTCAGGTTTGGAAAAAAGTGGGGGGGGGCAATTGATGTAGTAATCCTCCACTTGGAAAAGTGGAGGATGTCTCACCGTCCCCCACCGATTGACGTGTGTGCGTGTACCCCGCCGAATATGATCACTTATGATAGAGAAATATTTCAGATTATTCACCTCCGTTTCCACTGTCCTTTTTAACAAAAATGTGCAGGTCAGTGGCACACATTGTCAGCACACATGTAAATGACACGAAGAAAAAACCAACACGTTGAATTATCCAGGCACCATTTAAACTTTACATGGCTACATTTCTTTTTGTGTATTTTATAGTCAAAACTGTCCGAAAGACTTCAACTCTATGCTGAAGCAATTCCCTGAAACATGTGCTAATTGTGTACTCACCATGAACATTCACAGAGGCACGAAGTGGTGGTCGATCTCGATAGAGACTAAGTGCCGTTATCGCAGGTGGCTTGTCAAGTTTTATAGACTGGTACCAACGATGGCAACGCTTATTTGATTTGATCACGAGCTATTGAATAAAGTCCACTTATCTCCCGCATTTGGAGCCAGTTATCTTGAGTTTCATAACGATGCCTACAATTTGACCTCAAAATCCAGGTTAACAGTGTAAACCTTTTGAGTTCTAACTTTTTGATTTATAGTTTGCGGTAGGCCAACTGAACTAATTTTTTTTTTGGTAAATGTTTGGGGGAGGAGTCCATAGGCGTAAATATCTTGTTGAACAAGAGCACTGTACCTTAACAAACAGCTTACAAACGATGTACGGTTCCTGCTATCTAATCTAGTTGACTTAACAGTTCGAAATGAGTTTGCAAACGGAGATTAAAGTTAGTCATAATATAATATGACTACACTGTCTACTTGGACCATGGGTTAAAAGCCGCTTTGTAAAAGTGTGTCAAAGTTTAATCTTATTTTGATACATTAAAAATGTGAATGGTCCTTTTCCATTCAGTAATGTGGCTTATGTGAGCCCTTACTTTGGAAATAAATGTTATTTCTTCAACGTTCTGCATAAAGCTGTGAATATAATTTTTGGGATTAATTCGTGTAACAATTTCCATCAGAATGTAGTTTGTTACTTGTTTTTGTCTTCCCTCGTACCGTTTCTGGTCTGAATGAAAGGCACCTTTTTCGGAAAGAGTGTCAGTGAAAACATACGCATATTGTAAAAGGTGCTAATGCTGCTATACAAATAAGTCCTTTTTTTTCTTCGAAGTGTCGTTAAGAGTTAGCAGGTGGATGTTATGGCAAAGAAAGAAAGACACGAAGACTTTTTTCACTTTTCCAAATGAATTTCAGAGAAGATCTAAAAAACAACTTGTTTCCAAAATAAAACGTGGTTCAAATGTAATGAAACAAACCATTCATGTACAAAGAAACGAATGCATATATGAATGAACATACATAACGCCTGTATGCATGCAAATATGTACGGTATGTATGTAGGCCTATGTATGTATTATGTTGAAGTTGCGTTTTGGGGTTCTGGACGAGATGGACATTGTGAAGTTCTTCTTTGGATTCAAGTGCATAAGCCATGTATCTTGCCAGTGTCAAGTTCTTTAACATCATCTTGAACTATGATTGTGTCTTAAGCTGATTTGATAGGTGTACAATTCTCTGCAAATAGTCTAACGTTCGATATAATTTTTCCCGGTAAGTCGTTTATATAAATTAGAAACAGTAATGGATCAAAGACTGTCCCCTGATACCCATGAAGTGCCCCTGACTGAAGATGAAGTTGTGCCATTTACCACTACCTGTTGAGTTCTGCCCATCAGAAAGCTCTCGATCCATGTAGTAAGTGACCCTTTAATTCCTAATACTTAAGTTTGTGGATTAACCTACGTATACGATGAGGGACTTTGTCGAATGCCCTTGTGAAATCTAATATAGCAACATCGACTGTGTGTTTCTCTTCTAGAGCTTTAGTGATGTCATGGATCATGAGAATAAGCTGAGTTTCTGTTAACTGTATAGCTCCAAACCCATGTTGACAATCAGTCAGAATATGTTGTTTAGCAAAATGCTTCATAATATGACTGTGCAACATATGCGCAAGAAGCCTGGAGATGACTGGGGTCATTGAAACTGGCCGGTAGTTGGCTGCTTCGGCTCTGTTGCCCTTTTTAAAGAGGGCAGTATCGTTAACCTCCTTCCAAGCCTTTGGCACTTGACCCTAGTCGACAGAAAGCTGGAACAGGTTTATCAGGATTGGTGCCAGCTGTTCAGCGAAAGTCTTCAAAAACTAGGGGGTATCCCATCTAGGCCTTTAGACTTTGATGGGTTGATTTTCAGAAGTTGGTCCAAATGATGACTCCTTTTGTTGAGAGATAGATAACAAGATAACCAACAGGATCATATAGGCTTGTACCCATATCTGGTGGTGAATTACTGGGATTTTTCTGAGTAAACACACTTTTGAACTGATTATTCAGAATTTCGGCTTTTTACATGTCATCACTGAAAACATTTTTGTTGCTGTTCAAGTCACCAATCCCTTGGTTGACCTGATGCAGTCTTGAAATGAAATTCCAGAAAGCTTTGGGTCTGTTGGTAATTGCTGGATTCAAGAATTCTCCAATGTAACTCTGTCGTGCGGGTTTTAAACATTGTGGACTTCCTTGCGGGTATCACAAAATTCCAGCCAGTCTGAGTGTAATCAGGATATTTTTGCATTTTTTATTGCCGTTTTCTCAGATTGCAGAGTTTTTTTCAGCTTTTGTGTAAACCAAGGTATCTTGTGTCTCGACGAAGTAATACGAGTAGGTATACTTGTTCATAATGTCAGTAATCTTGGTACTGATCATGTTCCATTTGTTGTCGAGTTTTTCCTTCCCGGTCGGGTTTGTTGGTAAAAACAAGCTCCAAAAAATTACCGGAGTTAACTTGGATTCTGGTGGATTGCTTCACATGCTGGAACAGTCCATGTTCTTCAACAAGGGATGCTAAATTACCTACTGCGATTGAACTACATCCACTTCTTGACACAGTTTGATTATTGTCCCAGGTTATTGTCGGAAGATTAAAATCGCCAGTATAACAATAACATCATACCTGTTGATTTTGATGCTAAGCTTTGATAACGCCACGTTTAGTTTATCAATCTTTTATCCCTGCTGATCATCAGAAGTTCAGTAAAATGTTCCTATAATTTTTGGTTTTCTCCCTTTGACCTGAGTTTCAGTCCAGATGCATTCGCAGTCGTTTTCAAGATTTGTCATTTGCGTTGTTGTAAGATCAAGTTGCATAGCTTGGAAAACCCCTCTCCTTGTAGTGAGTGCCACGCGATCTTTTCAGAAGACACTAAAACGTGGAAGGGGGATCTCGTTGCTATTGATGGGAGGATGAAGCCAAGGCTCCATGCCGCAGATTACATCTGACTTGTGAATTTCATATAGAACTTGGACATCTGCTGCCTTTCCGTTAGCCCATTTAAATAAATATAAGTAGTGTAATGATAAATATCAAACAAGATGAAATTAATCAGACGGTTTGATAATTTGGGCTCTCCATAAATTCCAAGCTTGCAAAACATTACTGTACAAGGTAGGTAGATAAACAAAAAACTTGGCATCAAGATTAAGGAGAAAGATTTGCTAATCAAAATTGAGCTCACAGTATCGACGTAAAAACTTATGATAACTCATGAAAAAATTGGGTTTTTGTTTGCTTGTGCACTTTTCTATGGAGCCAATTGGGCCCTGCAGTCCACTGAGTGCCATAGAAATGCACACTCGTAAACAAAATGCGGTGTCACCAGCGCAGAGGTCTATTACACACACGGAGCGTTGTTACAGGGGACAACACTTTTTGACCTCGTTGGCCATCATAAAAGGGTAGTCATGATATTTTGTACAGCCCTCGGCTTAGCCTCATGTGTCATTTAAACCCAATGGTGTACAAAACCTATGGACGCCGTCACAACAGGTAACGATTATTTGGTTATTTCACTTAAATTGTCTGTACCAAGGCGTTTAGTTGAACAAATTTAACTAAGTTGAACGACTGGTAAGCCGTAACATCTTTCTCTTGACATTTCTGAAGAAATTCAAAGAAAGCCAATTTTGTTGTTAGGAACATCTGAAAATGCGAGGTCTCCCCCTTCATGTCTGTTTAGGAGCGATGCAGAATTCGAAACTTTCATATTTACACACCCAGTGTTACACCAAGTGTTAATGTTTTAACGCCATTTCAACACCTTCCTGTCACAATTTATGAACGCGTTGTGGTGTTAATAATCCAGAAAGTGGTGACTCTTTCTGAACACCGAAACACCTGTATTTCCAAAAAGGCGTTTGATTTCATCCTGTTACGTGAGTACAATTCTCCAACGATGTAATACGGGCGTTTCACAATAGTGCGCAACCAAGAGTCTGCAACACGTTTGCCCATCACAGTGTACGAAAATAGTTGACCCAATGCGCGTTTCGAAAGGGTGGACAGATGTAGCGCGTTGTGATTGGCCGACGCGTTGTAAACTCTTGGAGGCGCTGTACCGTGAATCGCCCATATTGACGCTGCAATTGGAAGGAAAGCCTCTGCGACGTCATATTTATTAGGTTGATGAGCTTTAGGCTTTCTTATTCGAAGCCTTCTAAAGAAATTGAAACCCAAAGTCATTCATTTAAAAATTTGAATGTATCTTGAGATCCTTGCTCAAGTAAGCACCTTCGTTGTAATATTTAGTTCATTGATATGCATGCAATCATATTAAAAGGGTACGGTGTTGAAATGATTTCACATAAACAGAAAGGGAAGAAAGAATAAACGTCCTAAATGTCATTAGGTGTAAGTCAATGTAACTGCGTGACGATGGACTGCCCATTCACAAGAATCTCTTTCCTTCCAGACCCTCTACGACATCTTCAACCACTCCGTCAACTCACACCTCGCTATGGTTCAAAAGCATCGCATTGGCTTCTTCAATAGCTAAAACTCCTCTGTCTCTTGCACCCAAAGCTATAAACTTCCCACATCTAAAAAGGAAGGCGACGTCAATTCAAGCTTCTCCACAACGTCCTTCCCTCTTCCCCGGTTCTTCATCATCTTCCGCTCCTGCGGATGTTGCGGAGAGGGAGGAACCGTCACCCACCTCTTCATCCTATATCCTCTATCCTGTGATCCAGCCAGCACTAAACCTGCTTACTCTTCTGACCTGTCTCTTTTGACCCAATCATGTCAACAACCGACACAAGGGGCATGCTTCCTTGGCACATCCTTTTTCGAAGTCACGGCTACTTTTTAAACACCCATCACATTCAAACACGATCTTACAACGATTTCAAAAAAATCGGGAGAGCGTGGCAAATCGTGGTGAGATCGTGTACATCGTAGTAAAACTCAGTAGGAACTGATAGAAACTTAGTAGGGGCTTCATGGACGGAGAGTATGTGCCAAAATTTGAGCATGGTCAAATTTTACATAGCAGGTTCGTAGTGGCTTCAAATCACGGTGACAGCATGTAGTCTTGGCGTATTAGCAACGTAGTAGGATCTTTATGGACGTGGTACAAGCGCAGCTCAATCAGGAGCATGAGGCATCATGTTCATTCATCTCGGAGTCTGGGAGAGAACTGGTGGCGTGCACTGTTTCAACCAATATATAATATATATAGAAAGAATTTAACGCTCGAAAATGTAAAGACAGCTTGCTACAAGTGTGACGCACACGTTATACACGCAACAACAACGTATTATACCATTGTACCGTGATCTTTGAGGTCGTAGTACAATCGTATCAAAGTTGTTACATCGTTGAACAATCCGATTGCATCAGAACTCACGCGCAGTTTAATCGTGTGGAGAACGTAATGCGAACTTCATACACACGATCTTGACAGAACAGCTTTTCGCCCAATTTCTTGGTTTCCTCCCGTCCTAGCAACGATTTAATGAGGTTTTACAACTTAGCGGGGTCTTCCTGGTTGCTGTCAGAGTGTGATGGGGGCATTAATACTTACTGTGAATATACCTCCTGCATTTGGGGGCATAAGGTGGGTATAAAAGTTCATACAGTCTGATGGTAAGTTTAACGTGTTTACAGGCACGGGTGAGGAGCAGGGTCACAACTGGGGCTAATTTCTGGGGGGGGGACACCCAGTGGTGCACATAATTTTCAAGGGGCACCACAAGAAAATCAGCTGCAGCTGCAGCACGGGCATAGTTACACCACTAGTCTGGAAGGGGGTGGGGGTCACTCCCCGCTTTTATACCATAAATAACAATCATAGTAATAAAATTTAAAAAAAAAACTGACATCCTATAAGGCTCATTATGTGTACATCAGTAACAATATAATGCATGACAATTGTGCTCACCTGTCCGTAACAATTAATTCAAACAATCGGACAGGCCCGGCCCCCTGCGCTAGACAAACTCCTGGATCTGCTCCTGGTGTTAAATTTGAGTTCTGATGAAGTGCTCTTTGTAGGTTACCACTTTCACTCACATTAGGCAAGGTTAACAGGCTAATACCACGTTCAAACATGTTCCTATAGTCATATATTATACGCAGAGTATCTTTATTACGTGTCTCATACAAATTCATTATTTACATATCTGGAACAAAGGTCTGATCTAGGCATCCGTTAAGGGCATTAAATGTATACTGAATACTGGTACCCAAGGCTTACTGTCTTACCACGTGCATGGTATCAATAAGATCAAGATACAGTCATAGATGATGATCGGTGTGTTTGCTAATGATGAAAATTAAAGATAGATACGGGTTATTAGGAAAGACCTATAGACCCCACACCTAAACGAGATGTGTTAATGGCAGAGCCAGTGATCCACACAGGTTACATATGTATGGAACATAACTCTCAACGTGTTGAGCTTATTAATGGATATTCATTTTCTAACCCACATACATCACGCCCAATAATGACGGCCCAGTCTCTTTTTAGTTTAAAAGCTAAGTGCTTCATTCAAATAAAGGTCGATCCGTTTGGTCCTTTTACTCTTACCTACGTGTTGAAAGATAAATTTTCTTTGCACGTATTATTCCGTCACCTTCAGTCTTCATCCAACTGGTCATACAATAATAATTTGTAACCAGGGGCGGATCCAGGGGGCGCACACCCCCCTTTTTCACCGACAAAATTAAAAAATAAATAAAAAAGAAGAAAGAGAGAGGGAGAAGGAAAGGAAGTGTTATACTTCTTGAAACTGCACCCCAGAGCGCCTATCCCGGAATCCAAAATGGCACCAGACCCTACGCTGTACGGGCATTTTACCATTACTTCTTTAGTTCACGCCCCCCCCTTTGGAAAAATCAGGGATCATGCCCCATTACAAAATCCTGGATCTGCCCCTGGTAACAGTCTTTTTGTCCTGAAATGAACTAACTGTAATAAAAATAAGGATCAAGTAAATTGTACAAAATCTTTACAATATGTGGTAACTTTTGAACGTTCTTTTTATACAGTCACTGTCTCAACCTCACCAGATCTACGAGCCAAACACAAGCCAAGCCAAAAGTAAGATATCCTAAGAAAACCTTCGAACTGCCACGGCTACACTCCAATGTATACAGAGTAACAAACTATAAATTCTACATTGATCACTGCATGCCACGTTTTAAGTTTAGTTTTGTAAAAATCGTTTAGAATTCTCTTGGTCCTGTATCTCGATCGGAGAGTACGCCCTTTATGTATTGGTATAATAGTCTACAACTATACCTTCGAAATTTTCAAGGGCTCTTACGCAGGTAATGAATTTTGATCAAGGAGTACGCTACCATGTTATACACGCAAATCTTAACATCAGCTACAATAGGCTTCAGTTGAGGTTGACATGCAACGTCCATTTTTCTCTATATATCATCTTTAAATTGTTATTTATGTATTGTACAATCAAGATGACGCTTAAAGATGCCGTTACATATCCTACGAGTGTTGAATGAATTAGTAGTTGAGAGATGTAAAACATAATCGCAACTTCTCCGACTTTGCAATTTACATGACGCGCTATTCAGTTGTTATCCTGTTCACACATGCAGTCCAAAACGATAAATACTACTCGTACATGTAACAAATCCGTTTAAACTTCGAGGTCAAACGTCAGATTAGAATTATCTTTATGTATCACATATATCTGTACACTCTCTCAAACAAGGTAGTTAATGGCATATTTTTGTCGGTACACTGTGCAACTCTGTAATTTATACATCATTTGTTTTTAAACCATAATTTTCAGTCAAACCATTTACTAGTCAAGCAACTTTTAAATGGGATGGGTCAAACAAATAATCGTTTTTCACGAATACCTGTTATTAGGGTTTACTGTCACGTTGATGTGATTCAGTGTGAGTTCAGTGCTTAGGGAACGAGATATGGTACGTTTTCTTCTGTTACACATTCTTTTCGAGAATGCTTTGATAGCGGGGGGAAAATCTGTACATGAAATCCTAGTAAATTTAACAACTGTTCAGTTTTGAGAACATCATTACAAACTGCTTTCGATTATACATGAAGAGTTTGTAATTTCTCCCTGCTGTTAGTCAAAATAAGATCAATGCTATGTTGTTATTGTTTTAAAAGATGTTTTCATACTATAGTGTTCATAAACCATATCCGTACAGCCGCAGCGTTCTCGTTCATCCATCGGATGTTAGCCTGTGTCCGGTCAATGCTCATATCAACGGCTTTCTTCACGGTCGGAATGTTCTTCTGTTTCTTGTAGAAGCTACTCATCTGCAAATTTGAAGCAAAAGTGATCTTTACCAAGCCACAAAATAATAGTTACAGCAGTCAATTAAAATGGTATATTTTGTATACAAAGGCTCTTGTCTGAGAAAATGTGGAAACTTGTGGGACTTTTGTCTCTTCGTGCAAAGGCAAAACGACCTTGTCCAAAGTTTTGCCCTTTTTTGTTTACGTCTTACAAATTGGAATACAAATTCGTCTATTTGTGAAAACGGAAAATGTGGCTTACTTGAATTTTGCCCAAAAGAGATTTGGTTTGGCAGATTTAAGTTTAGATTGGGTAAAAAATGATTCGACCACGTTAGGCATCACGCAGCTTAGTTGATTTTGAAAAAAAGAGATGTTTGGAAAAAATCTTGATTTTGGGCCAATTTGTCTGTTTGTGAAACTGATGGCAAAATTATTTATTCCCTTCACTCCCCATAAAACTATCTGTTTATGACAGGTATTACTTCTGGGAATTTTTTATTAGCATCAATGCATACGGTAAACAAAATTTAGCACACCATGTCAGATGGCAATAAAATGCAGCAGTCTTGGTTTTTGTTTTTTGGATATACATGCTTCTCAGCTAAGCAGATGGTATGCAGACAGACAGAATAAACAGACTGAAGACAGTTAATACCTGACCCACAGATTCTGTATATTGACAAGAATATAACATAAAATCAGTGCTCTGGAATATGTGATTGTCGAGCTTTCAGTAACTGAGTACTTTCTTCACGGCAAGCAGATTCAGTTCTGAATGAACGCAGGAAAATCCACGTTCATTCCCCTGGAACGTTCCAAGTTCGAAAATGACGCGCTGCTCCAGTTCCTTACGCTGTACATCAGATGACGCTTTCCGCAGAATGCAGACGCTTACGTCACCGAGGTCGCGTTCGGGCGGCCTGTTCTTGACACGGGTTTCTTGTTCTTGCGCTCGAACGGCGGGAACACGACTTAAGAACACTGTTCTCAGAACAGGATCACACACCACACCCACGTCAGGGTTTTACAGGAACACACGGAAAAACTCGTGAGATTTTGATTTTTGAACCTATGCAATAGTGGAGAGATGGCTTCCAAAGCCATAGACAATGGGAAGTTTTGCAAAATTAACATTAATTATTTTCCGTAACACAGAAATGAATGTTCCTGTTTATATAGAAAAGAATTCAGCCCATCCAAACATTAACTCTCGAATAACGTAGCCTACATGGACGCCGCCATGTTGAATGTTGCTTGTCACTACCAGCGACAACCGGTTGTTTGATCCCAGCGTTCGAGCGGCTGACCCCCGCACAATAAATCGAGCTGTTCGCGAACATACGGGAACAAGCCGCCCGAACTCGGCCCGAGAGTATGCGGCGGCGAGCAAGAGTGCTGCGCAACAGCGAGACCAAGGCCGTTTTCCAATACTCAACTTAGGCTCCGTCTCAGGCTTCAACTGTTTTGTACTAGCTAACTTTGAAGCTGTAAGCGCAGTAATCAGTCTAATAGTGCCACAAAACATCAAATAAGATGCAAAAGAGCCAAAAATCCAATGCAATTTAAACCCTTCAGGCCCACAGTCGGGGATTGGTTTTGGGAACGAAGCCTGAGACGGAGACGAATTTGAGTATTGGAAAACGACCCAGGTGTTTGTTGTATTCCGCGAGGCGATCACCAAGGCGACGCTTGGTCTCTCCGATGTACAGTTTACCACAGCGACGACATGTAATGCAATAAATCGTATTATTACTAATGCATGTATGATCTCCGCGTATTCTGTAGTTACCGGGGGCCGACGA